AAATAAATCTAAATAGCAATCCTCAGGCTGCTTAATTTTTCTCCCCAAAAAAAGAAGCATCTTTCTCATGTTGAGTAGATAATGAGCCTATACAACTTCCCCCCAAAATGGAGGCAATTAACCTTAATTCTCCAGAATTCTCCCGCATGTTTTATAGCAGGGAAATCATTTTAGATCTACTGAGGCAACCAAAAGAAACACACAATGAAGATGCAGATAGTACTAATCAGTTCCTGCAACCCGCATTCACCCCCAAATTGGATGGGATTTAATTTGTCCTTTGTCCTCACAGTCACATAGGATTTCTACATCATTTTAATAATTTTAAGTTAAACATTCAAACTTCATATTCTATTTCCAACTTCATTTCAAACTGATATAAACCATGACTAAAATTTTTAAAAATGATTAAAAAATTAAATTGTGATAAATCAGATTGATTTTTAAAAAACCATTTATTTTTATCCACAATGTAAATAAATATTTTATTTGAAATGGAACATAATAAAATAATAACAGCAGATCACATCCTCTTTGCCAGAACACAGCAATCACTTAAGAATGAACATGTTTAACTAACAACTTGGAAGGATTCTTTGAAAACAGTCTAAGTCACAAAATCTGATACCTGATTTCTTTTACGCTAGAACTAAGATAACTACACATTTAATCAAATCTGTCAGGTAACATTATGAAACATACGGAGTTTACAACTGATGTCAGGATATTTATTTGGTGTATTGTCTTAAGGAGGGAAACAACATTTTTTAAAAAAGTAAAACACAAGTGGATATTTCTTTTCTTTTTATTTTACCAATTCACATTTTTCCCTCATGAGGAAATGTGTTCAGTATTGCCATGTTACATAAAATTGTTCATGAAGATCCTGAACCAATGATATTGCTCTTTTAAAAAGGCTGAAATCCTGTTGCTTAGCATAAGAAGTCATAATCAGAGTAGGCCCATTTAATGTGGGAACTTAGTGAGTTAACCCCTCTGTAAGTTCCATGGAGTCAATGGGCCTATAGTTGTGACTTACTACACTGAGCAGCAGGACTTTTAGCCAACATGTTACAGATGTGGGAAGTGGAAGACAGAGTGAGAAATGAACTCAACATAGACAATGCTTAAACTGCAGTAGACTCTGAACACAACCTGAATACTATCCTAGACTCAGGTAGCTGGCTTGAGGATGACTCAACCTTCCATCCTTCTGAGGTTGGTAGAGTACGCGGCTTGTGGGGGGATGTGTAGCCTCCATAATTAAATAATAAAACCACCCAAAGAGTGCTTTAAAAGCACTATGGGGTTGCATATAAGCAGCATACTTTGCTTTTTCTGTTTTACCTGTTCAAAGTATTACTCTAACAACATTCCTCTTCAGATATGGGAGGTCTATAAGAAAAGTGCCCCCACAGACTCCTGAACCCTATTAGCTTCCAGAAACACTTTAAGTGATTCCTCTACAATTTCCAACAGTTCTTTTATATCTGGCCTTTCTGACAATTAAAATGTATAGCTGATGTAAGTCATTGGCATGATTTGCCCAAGACAAGCTCTTCTGAAATTTCACAGAGAGACTGAGGAATAAAAGTTTAACTAACATGTAGAAATGTAGGATAGAGAACAACAAAACCCTATAACATTTCTTGTGAAATATATCATAAAGCATATTTGAAAGCTTATGTGGGAATGGTAGAGAGATCCTAATTCTCTGCCCCTATTGCATTCTAAAATATTTTTAGTTCCACTTTTTTCTTTTTTTTTTAATTAATGATGGATTATGGGATTTGCAGTCTATTTGCTCATTAGGCTATTCAGATGGTGGCTCTCAAAAAACTACAAATCCTCATCCAGTTCCCGCGCAGCTTATCAAGTCCAACCTACTCTCTCTGCAGAGTGGAAAACCTGAGAAATATGATATCAACATGTTGGGCCTCATGTGTGTGCAGCAACTCCTCTGGGGACTTGGATTTATTTAACGACAGGTGTCAGAATTCTGGGGTGAATCCATGCTCAGTCTACGGTATTCAGAAATGGCTCACTATTCTCTTCTTCAGGCTACACTCTGGGACCATATAGCCTGCCCAAAGCAACAGGACTGGGACGTCTACAACACACAGTGAGGGATCAAACTCCTGACAGCAGATTCTGCACCTAGGTGTTCTTACTGACTGAGCAATCCCACCACCACCCAAAAATAACTACACCATATGTTTAAAATATAATTGATAAAGGTCTGATTGATTGATTGATTGACTGAGCAATCCCACCCATCACCCAAAAATAACTATACCATATGTTTAAAATATAATTATGAAGGTAGAAAGGCGAAAGGATGTAGCAGTTATCCAGTATTACATATAAGTACAAATAGGTCTATCCATCTTCTGAATAGAAGCCATGAATGTGCACTCAGTACAATAAGTTTCTCACTCTCAGACTAAAGGTTTATCACTTGTGATTATGTTAAATGGCCTAGGGATGGTGAAAGGGGCAGCTCATTCATCATGGATTATGTGAGTCTCAGAAAAGGAGAATGTCATTCTTAAAAAAAAAAGAATGAAACAATTCCTTAGATTAAAATAGTCTTTCCTTGAGGGACAACTGCTTCTTGCATCACAGTTACGCCTGTAAGGAGTGACATGAGTGGAGGATCAAAATCCCAACAGCAATTCTGGAAAATGTGGTATCTACATTATGGCTTGACTATTACTACATTATGGCTTGAATATTAACCAGGTGAATGGATAGTTGCTTGTTTTCATCTAGCTAGGTTTGCAAACACAGAATGATAGCAATCATGGTCCCATCAACACCAGTGATGTGCAGAAAGACAGTAAAATTTAATTAGTTAGCTAGCTAACTTTCTCAGAAATGCTGCCTATTCCAAATGCACAAATACTGTAGCTGGACAGGCAGAACTGGGGGCTTTCAATGCATTGATGAGACAATAGTGTTCACATATGGGAGTGTTGGTTTGTTAGGCACCAGACTGTTTTGGGGACAAGCCAATGAAATGGCATCACCTGCTTGACAGTGCTTAGTATCAAAAAGATCACAAAACAATATTTAAAGACGGTGGGCGCCTCCAGTATGTCTTAGGGCTGCTTTTACCCTCCCCAGCCTTTGAAGGGCCACACTCTCCTCTGCTCAGTCTCTCCAAAAATGCGCCTCAAAATGCCAATTATGTCAGCCTCAGAAACTTTTCTGTCCTGCAAGCACACCACTGCAAGGTGTTAGTGGAGACTAGCTGGGGAATTCTGGCACTGGTCATCGACACATACAATATAATGCCAAGTTTCCAAAGGGGCAGTGATGCTAGCCTGCTGCAGCAAAGCAAGTCTTATGGCACCGTGGATAGAGTGGCCAGCTGAAAAGAAGGTCAGGATTCCTATGCCTTGAATAACTGCTTAGAAGAAGAAATGTCAGCAGGTGCAACTTTTAATAAACATAAGCTACATCTGCTGACGTTTCCTCTCCTCCCCACACCAGCCATCAAAGGTGCAGGAAGCCCGATCTTTTTTTCATCTGGTCACCTTAAGAACGATAACGAGCAAAGCCCTTTCTCTTCAGGCAGGTCTTTCCATCCTGACTCTAAGGGGGGGGGGTGTCTCTATGGACTGTTGGGCTCTGCTGCGTTTAAATGTGGTTTGGGTACTGATTTTAATTCCCGTTTTTAATATAATACTTGTTTAATTCTTTTTTTAAAAAAATATGTGTACACTTCCTGCTTTTAAATATCGTCTTTTCAATTACGTAAGCCGCCTTGGAGAAAAGCGGGGTGAAAATACTTCAGATTAAGAAATAACAAACCCGTGGTTTTTTTTGGTTTTTTTGTTGTTGTCGTTGTTGTTTTTTGCAGTTATCCTAAATCAAAGGGGTTACCATTTAATTCACCCGGCTGGTTTTCCCGCCAATGAGGCTCCAGCCCACTTTCCCTCAAGCCAGGACGAGCCTGTCACCGCTCAGCTGCCGAGAGAACACGACGGAGAAAACCGCTTCCACCGCTCTCCTCATCTCCTGCCACCCCGAAACAGCCACGTAAGAAGAGGAACTCCCTCGCCGGTTGCATTTTAAAAGAACGGAGAGGGGGGGAAGGGAGCGACCCAAAAAATAAACAGCACCCCTCCCAAACCTACCTACCTATCTCTCTCTCCCTGCCCTGGCCATTCCGCTTCCTGCTTCTCATAAATACTTATTTAGCATTTTCTCCAGACCTTCTTGGCCCCGCCTCCTTACCCCGGTCAGCCAACGAAACAGAAGTATCGTCCCGCTTAGACCAGCCCACAAGCTCTCTCTTCCAATCACAACACCGATCTCCTCTCAGTTTCGGTCAACCCGGGATTGTCCTCCCCTCCCTCCAATCATGAGGCAACTGCCTTCCTTCCGTGTCCCGCCCCTTGGCTAGCGGAAGTGTGAGGTGGCTCGCGGCGCGGGTAACCATGGTAAGTGGGGCGGAGGTCGGTCGGGGTGTTCTTGTAAAGTTTGGCGCGCCTTGGCTTTCTTTGCCCGAGCCGGTTGGTGAAGCTGGGAGTCCGGTTTGGGTTGAGGGCGCCTGACAGCGGAGTGGGGGGCCTTTCATGGCGTCGCATCACTGAACGATGGGCTCTTCCCAGTACAGGGGCTTCGTAGAAACACAGCGGCCCCCTTGCCTTAGCAAAGAAAACTGAGAAAAACTGCTAGTGTGTTATTTCTCAAGCTATTTCTCCTCCTGATATTTACAGAGTTATCGTAGAAAATCTGTTCTCCTTTTCTATTTGCCAGGTTTTCCTACTGCCGCAAAGGCTGCCTTTTATTTATTCGGCCTTATATGCCCTCCTTTCATCTGGCGTGTCCAGAGCATCAGGACGTGTTTCCTTCTATCTTTGTAAACATTGATGTTTTTAAAAAAACAGACGTGTCGAATTGCAGAATTTTTGGCCTTTTCACCTGTTCCCTCGTCTCCATGTAAAGCTTTTGCAAAGGGCTGCATGTAAAGGGAGCGATACCCACAAAATGAAGTTGAGTAACGGCTTACACTTACCTAGTGCAATCTTTCCACATTTAGCAGATTGGTTCCACTGTTTCAGTGTGGCTTGGTCCCAGGTTAGAATGGTTAGTACAGCAGTTAAAGTGTTGCACTTTAACTGCACCTCTGTTTTTTGGAGAGCTCAAAAGGAGAGTCTGAGATATTTGCATTTTAAAATTCAACATGGAGAATTGAATTGAATATTCCACAATCATACAGAAGCAGGCAGTGGAAGTGGAGAAGCAGATAACTATCACAGATATTTATCTGTTTACTTTTGTTCCTCAGGCATAGGTATAGCAGTGTGTGAGAACTGGGGTTTCTGGGAATTGCAGTCCAAAGATACCTACGTTTCCCAAGGTTGGAAACCACTGATCTAAATAGATTTTAAAACTGTGCTTTGCATGTTTCCTTAGGAATGCATTCTTCTGTATTTACTTGGGCTTATAGTATGCCCCAGCAAGCTTATGTAGCACCCCAACATTCAGTTGTAATTTTGAACTCTTATATTGGAAAAATACTGTTGGAATTCATCAGCTAGAGAAGCATGGAATGTAGTAGGAAGAGGGTTCTAGGGTCGAAGATCTTAAAGGCGGCTTTTCACTTGATCCCATCACTGTTACAGGCATGTCTGGTGAGGATGTCGGGGAGGGCCTTTTTCGTGGCTGTGTGTAGAACTTGCTTCTTTGGGAAGCTACCCCTCTGCAAGTAGGCAAAGATCAGATCAAGTTTAATGCAATCATAGACCAATATCCAAATGTACTGTACAAATAAATGTACCAAAACACTAAAACACACATATAAAACATATACTAAGTTAAAAGCATCATAACAAAGTAATACATTATACTACCTTAGTTCCCTTACAGGTTTTTCATACTACAATGGCAGTTTCAGAAATGGTTTGTCATATGGCCTGAATGTATCTGGATACTGAACTTAAAATGGTTTGCCTGCAAAGAGGCTACAGAAATGAGACTTGGTTTTCAATGGCCAGGGTAAGTGGAGGCACACTTTGCTTCCACCCTCATGATGTCCACAAATTCACCTGCTGGATGGTTGGCCTTTGCTATTTAGAAGAGCAGAATACTGAATTTTGGAGTAGTTTCCAAATGTGGGCCATATCTGCCTTCTTCCTAACCATGCTTTGCCCTTTACTGGCAGAGTATGCCAAAGGGAGACCTTTGTGTGAGAAATAAGGTTTCACTGTTTCTCGCAAGCAGTGGTTCTCAACCTTTTCTCTTTGATACCAACTCCCAGAACTTCAGACCATTGACTATACTGGCTTTACTTTGATAGCAGAAGTCCAAAACGTTGAGGCTAAAGCTTGAGTGCCACTGTTCTAAAGCATTTCTGGAATGCACAGGCCCTCCATCAGCATACATCTCTTTCAGCATTAGGGTGAACATTTTGCTACTTGTTCTGTACATACTAACCAAAGCATTTCACATAATTTTAGTAGTTAACATTTATTCTGAAATTTTAAGATTCAAGCAAGTTTGTTAAGTGTATAATGCTAGTATAGGCATCTTTGCTGGGGACCATGTTTTGAAAAAGAAGTTGTCTACCAGTGTTGATTTCTCTGCCATTATATTTAGACTGTGGTATGGTTCATAAGGAAAAGATGTGATGGGTCCTTAAAGTCCCATTTTTCTACAGTTACTAAGGAATGGAACGACTTTGAAAGACTAAGCCATAACTCCTGTTTTATATCACTTTTTTTTCTTTTTAGTCTGCGATCTTCAATTTTCAGAGTCTGCTGACAGTGATCCTGTTGCTTATATGTACTTGTGCTTACATAAGATCCTTGGCTCCCAAATTACTGGATAACAATCAAACTGGGTATGTGAATATCTAGACATTTGTGGACAGGGTGAATTTTTTTTATCATTTCAGTATATTTTGTCTTGTTAATTTTAGCAAATTTAGTCCACAGCATAATTGATTTATCATTGCAGTAGGTTTTTATCTTAAGTGAAAAATCTTTTTTAAGCACCAGTGCTATTTCCTCTTTTATATACTACTGTCACTTGAAAAAAGTAATAGTGAGGTCAGGCAGTTCCTTTTGTAACCTGACCACCAGAGTCAAGAGGGACATTATGTTTGTCTCTATCAGCTGAACCTCCATCATCCAAAAACAGTTTCTGTACACACACAAGTATCCAGGTATAACTCCCAAATATAAATTTGTTTCTGCCACTGAGTACAGTCCTATCAGGAACAGTCTCAGCATCAAATCCGTGATCATCAGAATCCCAAGGCAACTACACTTCTATGAGTTTTAATTTGTAAACTCCCCAGAATAGTGCATGAACTAATGGCTCAGTATATAAATCAAATGAATGAATAAATATACTTCCATCTTAGCAGCTGTCAGTTTCTATTTGTTCACTCTCAAGTCTTCTAAAATGGCCTACAAACTCAGTTCAAAGGTTGAGAGTTTGGTGATGGGAATTCAGTTTCCCTGTTAATTGTACTATAAAGAAAGTGAAGTAAGGAAAATTATCATAAGCCAGTAAAGTTTAGCAATTCCTTTTTGCTGTAGCCAGAACAATAAACTTTGCACTCTGACTTGAGAAAGTAGTGCAACTGGTTGATAGCCTGTATTGCAAAATACCATTAATTGGACACCTCAAGATGTATAAATAATCTTCTAAAATTGTGATTTCTAGCCACACTCTTTCCCTTCTCAAAAAAATTATAACTTACTGGCATCAGTCATATGCAATTTAGCTAAATTGTACTTACTTTTATGTGTATTTCAGGGTTTTCTGTGTTTGGTGTGTATGTATTTGATTTATATAGACATATATTTGATTTTCTATCTTGCATCATGGTGCCAAGTTATACTGTTGTGCCTTGTGGGTAGCAGTTGTTCTTTCCATATATTCTGGTTTTTGGAACCCATCTTATAGAGCAGTGATGGTGAACCTTTTTGAGCCCAAGTGCCCAAACTGCAACACAGAATCAACTTATTTATTTCAAAGTGCTGACGCTGCAATTAAAACCCGAATACTGAGGTCTTAGTTTTAAAAAAAAACAGCTCCTGCACGGCAATATCAACAAAGAAATACTTACTGGTCCTCCAGTCCCCCATTGGGCTAGACTGATAATAGTAGCCATTGCACCCCTCCGCTGGACTACTGCACCAGCAGAGGGGAGTGCCAAAATCCAGGATCAGAGGACAGGTAAGCATTTCTTGATGGCAACTTATGGCTCAAGTGCCCACAGAGAGGGCTCTGTGTGCCAGCTGTGGCACGCGTGCCATAGGTTTGCCATTGCTGTTATAGAGGCTATTGTTTAATTGTTTGTATAATACAGCTTTTATCATTGAATTTATTTTGATATACAGTGGTGCCTCGCATAGTGACGTTAATCGGTGCAGCAAAAATCACTGTTAAGTGATTTCGTCGCTATGCAATTTAAAAAAGCCCAGAGGAATGCATTGAAACCCCTTCAGTGGTTTCCTGTGGGCTTAAAACTAACCTTTAAGCGAAGATCCTCCATACGGCAGCCATTTTCGTAAGCGAGGAATCCGTCCCTAAACACAGCGGGTGGCCATTTTTTTTACCCAGCAGCCATTTTGGAACCCCCGATCAGCTGGGGGAAAATCATCGCTTTGCGATAATCGGTAAGCTAAACAGGGAACCGATCATTGCAAAGCGAAAAAACCCCATTCAGACCATCGCAAAGTGGTCGCAAAATCTTCATCGCTATGCGATTTCGTCGTTAAACGGGGCGCCCGTTAAGCGAGACACCACTGTATTTTTGTGTCTCAGATCAGTGACAGAGTTGCACATTATGGTCACATATTCCCAGACAAGATAATCTTTTAAGTTCTTGCTGTACACTACACAGTTTTGTTATAATTTAATAAGTGTTTACCTGCACAGTGCTTTTTCAGGCACAGAGATCTTTCTACAGATATTCCTTGAGAGAACAGGTCAAGTAATAATCTCATTTCCCAAAGTAATTCTATGGGTGTATATAACAGTGCAACATGCCAGGTGAGATTTGGGGGCCTTTTTTAAAAAGACACAAATAACTTTTAAGATAAAGAGATTTTTAAAAGGGCTGCCAAATCCCTTAGGTCCTAGCCATGACTTCTTTTTCTAATTAAATCATATATAATTATAGGTGTTGAAATGTTAAATATCATTTTTTTCTGTTTAATTTCTCTTACTATATTTTCAGGTTATTGGGCATATTCTGGAAGTGTGCCAGGATAGGTAAGTTCATGTATTTCTAAGAAATATTGCTCATTAGTGGATGTATGTAGACATCTAAGCATGCTAATTATTATTATTGATAATTCTGTAACTTACAAGTATATATGTTGTTACGAAACTTTTCTCTACCATTTTAGCATTGATAATCAGATTTCTTAATTTCCAAAGAAATTAGCCATGTTAGTGTTTCAGCATGTGAACAAAATTAAAGGTGAAAGAAATTGAAAGAGAGAAAGGCACTGTATAGTGGCACTTTAAAGATTCACATATTCACTTCAGGTTGCAGACTCCAAACAAGGTGAAAAGTTGCATACCAGGTAGATTAGGCTGTTACCAAAATATTAAGCGTTGTTTCTTGCCAAAATAGAGATTAAGGCTTCTTTGCACACAAAATTAACTCACCTTTCTTTAATATTCTATCATTATAAAAAAGTTGTCTTCCTTGACAGATTCTGACCAATCCTAGAACTCCAATAGATTTTAATTCCTAAAGTTTAAACCACAGTAAAACTATTAGTCTTTTAAGTGCCAGAATATTTTGCCTTTTCCCCCCTCTCTCTTCCCCCCCTTTCCCTCTTTAATTTTTCCAACATATTTCTTAATGTATGTTTACAAATACTACAAATTAAAATGTATAGACATAGGAACATGCTGGCTACAGAGCCAGAGTTTGGAATTTCAATTTTCACTGTGTAAAGCACCATTGTATATTCATTGTTTTCAGCTTTAAATATTTTCTTTCAATTATGTAAACCACCTTTTTAAGGAGAAAATCAGGGTGAAAATATTTTCAATAAATAAATATTCCAGAAGAAGATCCAGCCTGTGTAGCCTTGGGCAAACTACACAGGCCCAGGGTGCCCCAAAAGAAAGGAATGGTAAACCACTTCTGAGTACTTTGTACCTAGAAAACTCTGAAAAGGGTCACCATAATTGAGAATCAACTTGATAGTGTGAAATGATGATGACGAAGAACAAGAAATCCTATGTGCTGAACTATTGTTAGAAAAAAAAGATCCAGCAATAAATTGGTTTGAGCTGCAGACCTTTACATGGTTACCTGGGAGTATATCACATGTCTGCTACCCTGAGCTCTGTAAAAGTGCAAGATAAAGATCAGGGGACAGGCAGAGGGGAGCCTACCTCTTGCTGCTTGATTGAAACTTCCAACAATCCTAGCTGGCATTAAGCAATAGCAAGGAAACCTAAGAGTTGTAGTCTAGCAGTGGCTGAAAGTCCTCAAGGAAGAGATTTTAAAATGGATTTCCTCACCTTTGCTGATATCCAAAATGGCCATGGCAATTGAGAAGCTGGTGTTATGAAGCTCTCTTGCATGTGTCCTCCTCCACATATATAGAAGTGAAAACCACTTTTAGGAGGTTGTGAAACCCTCCAAAACAGAATTTCAGTGCCATTGAGGACTGTAGAAAAGAGGGGCCGAAGTTCCTGATGCCTCTATTGGATTCAAGCCTATGAATCACATAAGTAACAGATGTGATGTACAAAGTTTGGTATTCAGGTTTTACAGTTTTCATATGTGTTTTGCTCATTTATCTAAATCATTACCATCATATTTACTTAATTTGAAACATGAAAATGATGGGCAGAACATCTATATCCATCTTTCTCTAATACCATCTCCAGCAGTTAAGTTGCACTAAGAGAGTTCGAGTAAGAAAACAGATCAGGAGGGAAGGCTTAAATAAGCTCACCATCAATGCTGCTTTGTTGATGGTCAAAGCAGTGTCATGGGGCTTGTTGTTGTTGTTTAGTTGTTAAGTCTTGTTAAACTTTTTATTAAACTATTCCAGAAGCTAAATTTTCTTTCATACTTCTCTGGCAAAAAAATGCTTGTTTGTTGTAGCCTTTAAGTAAAAACTGGCAAGCTGCAAACAGGAGTACAGCTTGAGACCCCACTGGGCCAAGACACTCTCCCCAAGATGTACTCTCTGGGGACGGTCCTCCAAGAAGGAACGGAGCCAGGCAAGCGCCAGGCCACCGATTCCCAGCTCAGAGAACCTCCCCAGGAGGATACCGTGGTCGACAGTATCAAAGGCGGCTGAGATATCGAGGACGACTAACAAGGACATATTGCCCCTGTCAGCCTCCCTCAGCAGGTCATCCAACAGTGTGACCAGTGGCGTTTCTGTACCGTGGCGCGGCCTGAATCCTGACTGAAATGGATCCAGAGCATTAGTTTCATCCAGAAGCGCCTGGAAAACAGAGTCATCTAAATCCCTGTAAAATTCCATCAGCCAGAATGCCTTGTCTGGAAACAGTGTCCGACTCTTCATGACCCCATGGACCAGAGCACGCCAGGCCTACCTGCCTTCCACTGTTTCTGGAGTTTGTTCAAATTCATGTTGGTAGCTTCAATGACATTGTCCAACCATTTCATCCTCTGATGTCCCCTTTTCTTGCCTTCACACTTTCAAAAGTATCAATTCTTTGACAGTCAGCCTTCTTCATGGTCCAGCTCTCACTTCCATACATTGCTACTGGAAAAAACATAGCTTTCACTATACAGACCTTTGTCGGCAAGGTGATGTCTCTGCTTTTTAAGATGCTGTCTAGGTTTGTAATCATTTTCCTCCCAAGAAGCAAGCGTCTTTTGATTTATTGGCTGTTGTCACCATCTGCAGTGATCAAGGAGCCCAAGAAAGTAAAATCTGTTGCTGTCTCCATATCATCCCCTTCTACTTGCTAGAGGTGATGGGGCCAGTGCCCATGATCTTAGGTTTTTTTTTTTTTAAGTTGAGCTTCAGACCATTTTTTGCAATCTCCTCTTTCACTATCATTAAGAATTTCTTTAATTCCCGTCACTTTCTGTCATTAAGGTGGTATCATCTGCATATCTGCGGTTGTTGATATTTCTTCCGGCAATCTTAATTCCGGTTTGGGATTCATCCAGTCCAGCTTTTCGCATGATCTATTCTGCATATAATTTAAATAAGCAGGGAGACAATATACAGCCTTGTTGTACTTCTTCCCCAATTTTGAACCAACCAGTTGTTTCATATCCAGTTCCAACTGTAGCTTCCTGTCCCACATAGAGATTTCTCAGGAGATAGATAAGGTGGTCAAGCACTCCCATTTCTTTAAGGACTTGCCATAGTTTGTTGTGGTTGACACGGTCAAACGCTTTTGCATAGTCAATGAAGCAGAAGTAGATGTTTTTCTGAAACTCTCTGGCTTTCTTCATAATGCATGTTAGGAATTTGGTCTCTAGTTCCTCTGCCCCTTTGAAATCCAGCTTGTGGAGTTCTTGGTCCACATACTGCTGAAGCCTACCTTGTAGGATTTTGAGCATAACCTTGCTAGTATGTGAAATGAGTACAATTGCAGGGTAGTTGGAGCATTCTTTGGCACCACCCTTCTTTGGTATTGGGATATAGACTGATCTTTTCTAATCCTCTGGCCACTGCTGAGTTTTCCTAACTCGCTGGCACATTGGGTGTGGCACCTTAATATTTTTTAAGATTAAATAGTTGAATAGAATGCCATCACCTTCACTGGCCCTGTTGTTAGCCAGGCTTTCTAAGGTCTACTTGACTTCATTCTCCAGGATGTCTGGCTCAAGGTCAATGTAGCGTTCACACTATGTAATAAGATATGTAATATTCATGAGTTATATGCTAATGTGGTTGAGAGGTAGGGCCTCAAGATACGTTAAAAGGTGGAGCCTGAGAAGAGAATCAGAGAGTATGAGTCAGGGTTTGGAATCAGAGAGAGAGAGATTGGGGATCTGAGGACTGATTAGTCTGAGGTGTGATTAGTAACCTGTGACATTTACTATAGAAGATTAATATTGATGCTTGGTGAAACTGAAAGAATATTCTTATGAATTATTCTAAAAACCATCTGTAATCAATAAACCTGTCATATTGAAAAGTCAGTACTGAATGGACCTTCATCTTTCCTAAGTAAAGTACGTTGATAAAGAGATCAACTAGTGGCAGCATGTCAAGAGGTTTTGGTTTCCCTTTGTGAGTTCTGTGTTTGGGGAGACAAACAGGGACCATGAGGGGTGAACGCCACAGTGAGCAACCACACTATCTGGATTGTCCGGGACATCCAGATCTTTCTGGTATATTTCCTCTGTGTATTCTTGTCACCTCTTCTTGATGTCTTCTGCTTCTGTGAAGTCCCTCCCATTTTTGTCCTTTATCCTGTTCATCTTTGCACAAAATATTCCTTTGATATCTCCAATTTTCTTGAATAGGTCGCTGGTTTTTCCTTTCTATTATTTTCCGCTTTCTTTGCACTGTTCATTTATGAAGGCCCTCTTGTCTCTCCTTGCTGTTCTTTGGACGTCTGCATTCAATTTTCTGTAACTTTCCCTATCTTCCTTGCCTTTTGTTTCCCTTCTCTTCTCTGCTATTTGTAAGGCCTCGTTGGACAGCCACTTTGGTTGGACTTTCCTTTCATTTCCCTAATGGGGCTACTAATTGTCAAAACAAAAAAAGTGCTTGTTATTACTTTGACCCAAAAATATGGTAAAACACATTACAAGTTATATCATTATCTGTAATTTATAACTGCTTATCAGAGAGGGGGTAATAAAGTTACATTTCAAAAAGAAAGCAATAAGCAGGATCTAAATATTTCGCTGGCAAAATAAAATGTAATGCTTTCTAATTACATTTTGAGGGTATATAGAGTCATTTTGGCAGGAATCTTTCATGTTTCATGCTATTTGGCTCTAGGTCCTGGGTGTGATCAGCAGAAGCAGTAGCATAACAAGCTCTTTAGCACTGAACCAAGTAAAAGGAATTGCTGGGAATGAATTACGTTAATTATTTATGAAGAAAATTTCCAATCTCTAGTTTCACTCGTAATGACCATGATAAATTAAAAATGAGTGTTTGCCTGTGGATCCAGATATTCTAAGAAATATGTAATTTACTTAAGCATATGTTCTCTTTCTAAAAGATAACCACAAATCAGCATCGGTATGGAATCTAGCTCCTCTGGATGTGTTGAAGCAGCTCTTTGTGTGTCTGTACCTTGAAAAAGACAAGCTGTTGCTTATTTGCATTGTAGTGCAAACAGACTTTTAATCTTGATGGATGATGGATTCTTCTTTCAAGAAAATTAAGAGCAGAAAAGTGTAACACATATGAAAACTCTAAAACTTTTGGAGGTGGACTTCCTCACATTAATTCTAAACAGATGTTAAGTTGTAGACATTAATTCACACAGCTATTTGCAGCTTAATTAAATGTGTGCCAGATGATGACAATGTCTTGTAATGTAATTGTGGTGGCCTTACTTATGGGAAAACTCAATGAACTGTTTCTTGCTATGGAAAGATTGCGTTCTTAAAGGTTGGGCTGCCAGACGTGCATGAATGGAGACTTCCAGACATATTCGCTTGAGCACACCACTATTCCAGAAGCTTTACGGATTTTATTTATGTATTCCTTGCTTAGTCAGAGTGTTACAACCTTCTTTTGATTAAGGGGGGGATCATTCGTTTAATTTTTAAATATTACCAAATAAGTGCACTATAATAATTGTGCCCTGTGTTGTTTTTCAAGAGAATATTCATTGATTTTGTACTGATTTATATTCCAATGCATAGTTGTTAAGGAAAAGTTCATACTTTTTTGTGAAAAGGAAAAGATTTTACTTATAGTTATGGAAAGGGCTGACTCAAGATTGTAACATTGGATGGAGGTGACTTTGATTGAATAATAGTGGCAATTAGTGAATAATTGTGACTTGTGTCACAAAATTTACACTATTTTACTGGGGTCAGGAAGATGACTAGATATACCATCTACGGAAAAAAAAATATTCTCCCATCCACCCACTACTGCTTCTTTCCTACAGATACAGTCAGTATCCCCTTACAGAAATGTAGAGCAGAAGGGCAATCAGGCAGTGGTTTTGCCCACCCAGGCAGACGATCCTTTGCATAGCTGGTTATGCATTGATTGCCAAATCTGGTGTGCAGCCTGTTATAGGATGGATAGACCTCCAGAGGGGTGCCATTCTGACTGCCCTTGCCTGTGTGGATTTTTGCCAGAAAGCATTTCTTGTTATTCCCTTATACTGCTTGCAGACCGGTTCTTGTATTCTTCATTGAAACTGATTTAGGCAGAAAATTAGGTTGAAATTGACATTCTATATACTCTGTCATGTGGATTTTGAGTGTGAGAAAATCTCTGCACCACAATCTGTCTCCTATAATTCTCATTTTCTATATTATTTCACTTTCTGAGTTGTCTGTTCTGCATTACTGTACTACTTTCCAAAACAGAAGCATTTTTGCATGTGCAATGAAAGTTAACCAGTAATTCATTTTTGTCTTTTCTAGGTGAACGGAAGAGTCCTTATGTAGCTGTCTGTTGTATTGCAATGGCCTTCAGTGTTCTCTTTGTACAATAAACATTGGAAAATGCTAGAAATCTGTTGCGATCACACTGCTATGGAATAAGACTTGAAGAAACAGAAGAGAAGAAAAATTTGTTCTACACTTCCGTTTATTTGCTCGTTTTGGACAAGACAAATCTGTTTTTCCAAAAAGTCATTTTAAAAGTATGAACATGAAAATAGTAGAGCATTAAAATGTAAAAAATGACAAAAGTAAAATCAGACTGCTACCAATGCTACAGTTTGAATAAGTGTATGTGTGATGTGAGATGAAATGAGGTAAAAATTGAGTCACAGGCCAAGATTCAAAATGTAACAGATTTCAAATTAGATACTATCATAACAGCTTCATACCTGACATGTTGAAAAAATCTTCAGATTATTGTCTAATAATAATAATTTTAGTAAGACCAAATCTCTTTACTATGAGTTGATTTAGCAATGTTTCTCCAAAGTCAGTATTTCCCAAATATTTTTGATTTAACTTAAACTTGATTTTCATACATATAATGCATCCTGTATATTGATGAACTATTAAATATTAGATTTTTTTAATTGCATAAGAAATGCATTCATTTCTGTTAGGAAAGGGAGTAAGCATCTAGATTTTTTTTCCACAGAAGCTATCTTGAAATTTGATTTTTAAATTATTCAACCAATATTTCACTCTGCCAGGAGTTTCACTATAGTATACATAACACTATTGGTAAAACTGATTCTGGCTGAAGTGGAAGTAAGGGGCAATGTGCTCATCTAGTAAAACGCCTGCATATTCGTGCCACCATCATACAACTTTAGATTATTCCTTTTGTTTAGAAAGGAATACAAATGTCCTGTGATCCCCATCTATAATTTTTTATATTGTACTTTTGCAAAGGACTTCTTTATAGCCACCTTCTTACAGCTTTTTTCATGAGGCTGTAACATATTTTTCAGAATTAGATCAGTGAAATATGAATGAGCAACTATAGAATTAAACCACCTGGTTTAATTAGTTTTGTTAAACTCTGAAGCGGAAAATGGTGCAGCCTGGTGAATATTTTAGTCTGTTGAGGAAGCAGCAGTTTTCACACACTTAAGATGTAAATTTATTCTTGAAGCTGAATGTCAGCAGCCATTGGAATCATATTCTTTGCAAGCAGTGTGGCATGGCATAATCTGGTATGCAGCGTTTTGCAAACAAGAATGCAAAGAACTTGCAATATGTGCATTGCAGTCTGGTATATGTGGTTTATCAAGACATGACTGCCAGGGGTGGCCTGTAACTAGCTCAGAATTCTGCGTTTCTAGGACATTTCATTTTAATCACTGATAAAAATGTAACATTTCCTGTTCAGTCTCCTTTCATAGAAGCTTACAGAAAGTATATTCATAACGACAGTTCAGTTACATACATGAAAAATCAAATAAAAATTGTTATCCTTGAGAAAACACATTAATTTTTTAAAGCCGAACATGCTTTTCTCATTTAAAACATTATTTTAAGAGGTATAAACATTTTATTCACAAGTTTGTTTGAAACTATGGTCAATATAATACACATTTCTTATAGGCTGAAATATTAAGAGTGTTGCAGTAGGCTCATTGAATCAGTGAAATTTACGAAGGACTCACCAAGTCCCATTGATTCAATGGGTCTACTCTAGTTGTGATTTACTAATGGATTTCAGCTGTAGTGTTACACATTATATTGAACCACATTAACTAAATAGATTACTGTATAATCTATAATCAAGAGTCTAAAGAGAACAAAACCATAGCCACAGTCTGTTTGGGATTTTAAATTGCAACTTGAGAATATGAAAACGAGTCTGTCTTTAGAAAAAAAATTCTTTGAAAAGTTCATTTGACATCCAAAACTATAAATTGCATCATGATTCTTAATATTACATGAGCTTTAACATATGTAGAGCAAACTTCATTCTTTAGATATATAGGACTTATTTAGCATAGAATTGCTGTTTCAAACATTGAACAAGATAAACATAGTCAACACTGGCTAAAATCCTGTTGGTGTTCACATAAGAGTTGTCTAACTTGAGACTTACTGCAACTGATTGGCCAAATGCTTGGGTAGGTCTTGCTCATGACATGCGTAACTTTGCGGTTGAGATGTGCCCCAGCACTGTAGTTACCTGCAGTTAGCTGTAAAGGTGAATAAGGTTCATGCAAACAAGAGGCTGCTGACACTACGTGTAGTTTTGTCATGAAATACTGTAACTGGATTTTTTTTTCCTCTCTTGCTTTTTGGAAGGAAAGTTGTGTTCAAGGATGAATCAGGAAGAGTTTTTTTGAAAAAAAAACTTGTTAGAAAGAACTGGGAAGAAAGGTTAAATTTTTGACTCGTACATCCAAGTTAAAATGCTTTCCAAGGTACATGTTATTTGATTAGCATACATTCAGAACAAGAATATTACTTGGTGAACTACATATTCTTTCATTATAGTGGAAATAGCAGGAGAATAAAGCTAGTACTGATATTTATTGCAGAGAATATCCTGGTTTGGATCTGGGTGGATAAAAATCAATTTTTAAAAATCAAATTGATTTTTTAAAAATTTTGACCATAGAAAATCCAATTTTTAAAAAATTGTTACTTAAATCAAATTCACCCTGGTTTGGAACTGGTTTTAAATAATAATTAAGTTTAAACTTTATTCATAATTTTGAGGTCTTACATTTAGCCTACTGTAATGTATTCTCCACAAGCTGCCCTGCCATTGAAAATGACTTAGAGCAGTGGTTCTCAAACTTGGAGCCCCAGATGTTCTTGGACTGAAACTCCCAGAAACCCTGGCCAGCACAGCAAGTAGTGAAGACTTCTGGGAACCATAGTCCAAGGACATCTGGATACGCCAGTTTGAGAACCATTGACTTACAAGTACTGTATCCAGTTAGTGCATGATCCCTCTACTCAGGTTACTGAGTGGCAAACAAAGCAAAAATTATGACACTTATCCTTTGAGAGTTGTACTGGCACAGTATTGATGTTAATTTTTAAAGCCCTAAACAGCTTGGGGCCAAAGTATTTGTTTAATCACCTCTAGTATGTACCCATTTTAGATCTTTGCATTAGGTCCTGTTTAAATAAATAAATAAAATAAATAATAATAATAATATGCTCCAACCAGCGGGTAATGTTTGGGAAGTCACACCAGCATATGTATTTTTCCTTGTAGCATTCCCCACATATAGAGGCATATCAGGCATTTTCAGTAACAGCTTCACCTGATCGATACAATCTGAGCTTGGAACATTTTTAAAGGAACTTGTAGTGTTACCAGTTACTTTGTTTGGACATCAGACACTTGGCATTGCCACAGCTTTAAAAAATAATCTGTTCCATTGTTCACTGCAAGCATATTACCATTAGTGTTATCAGTGTACTACTGAAAAATATAGGCAAATGCTGTCCGATTCTCCCTCAAGATTCTCTCTACCTGCAGGAATAAAAACTATAAATACCTCTATAATGTCAGTGAGAAATGTGACTACTTCCAGTGCGCATGGAAGAAGTCACACTCCCATTGCTGTCAATGATATGACGGACTGTAGCCACTGTGTAGTCCAAAAACATCATCTCTTACCACCGTTAACACACAGATAACCCAGTTTTCATTCCACTGAAATGCCATGAATGATGGTCATTGTCATTCCAGGCCAAAATGTAACTTGCAAAATTTAACTTGTTTTGAAAAGTACTTTTTTAGAAAAGTGAGTTACTTCTAACCTCTGCTTAAGATGCATCTCTTTAATTCTTTCAGTGCTGGTTGAGGAGTCTTATTTGTCTTTTATTTGTTGAACAGTATATCATATGTATTGCTTTGCTGCTGGTTGGATCTAATTAATGTTTGTACTGCTATTGTTTCATTAGTGTTGCTTATATTTGTGAACTGCTGCATGTTTTCTTAAATATATATGCAAGACTGAAACTAACCCTATGGTGTGAAAAATAAGAAGTTTGAAAGTTGCAGTTCTTTGGCTGGACAGATAAATTTCTGAGGATAAAGAGAATTTTAAAGGAAATAATTGAGAAGTAAAGTGTAGGAAAGTGTGATCTAGCCCAGTGGTTCTTAACCTTTGTTACTTAGGTGTTTTTGAACTGCAACTCCCAGAAACCTCAGCCAGCAGAGCTGATGGTGAAGGCTTCTGGGAGTTACAGTCCAAAAACATCTGAATAACAAAGGTTAAGAACCTGTGATCTAGCCCAGTGGTCCCCAACCTTGGGCCTCCAGATGTTCTTGAACTACAACTCCCAGAAGCCTTCACCACCACCTCTGCTGGCCAGGATTTCTGGGAGCTGAAGTCTAAGAACATCTGGAGGCCCAAGGTTGGAGACCACTGATCTAGCCCATCCTTCATAGGTATGCTAGTTAGTTGTTATAAAACTCATCATTAATACCTGAATGCCCTACAAATGTGTGTTCCTTTCTTGCGGTGCCTTTTTGATAGTAAGCCTAAAGGCAGACAGTGAATTATTACTGATTTTTTTAAGTAGCACTGGATGAAAATGTTGTTCGGAAATAAAATAATGTACGTCTAATTTGCCCTCAGAAAATTCAATACTTAAAATAACTGGGAGGCTGATTGAGAAATTAAGAAGATTATAAATAGGAGGGAAGAGTTCTCTGTTTTAGCTTTTTGTTTGTTTGCAGATAAATAAATGATCTAGATCAGTGGTTCCCAATCTTCGGTCCCAGATGTTCTTGGACTACAACTCCCAGAAAATCTGACCAGCACAGCAAGTGATAAGTGCATCTGTGAGTTTAGTCCAAGAATATCTGAGGACCTAAGGTTGGGAACTACTGATCTAGCTCTTCTGTGAAATAGACAGCAACAATTATCAAATGTAGTTTGATTGCTCTTGCTAACTTTTTTCCACCCTACTCACATCATGATGAACAACCAAGGAGCAGATTTCTTTCTCTTTCAGTGAATGAAATGGATTTAAAAATAGCTATCACATTCGCGATGAATCGGGTTTTGGTTCCTTATCTGAAATGCAGAAATAGTTGAGTTATAGGATAAAATTTTTGGAACTGACTAGGGGACTTACCCCACGCTCTGTGAACATGAGCACTGGCTCTATTTTTCTACTGCTGACTGTTCAGTTTGGTACAAATCCACACCTGCAAAACATGTAGATATAGCACTAGATGAGACTTCTAGATTTCTTACTAGGTGTAAAAAAACCAAATACTACAGATAAGGTATACAGTCTGGTGGGTATTGGTTCACCTGCAGTATGACTGGAAGTGCTAACAAAGTATGATAGAAGTAAGAAAGCACAAAATGTAGTTTGTCCCTTATATAAACACGAGTCTACAAGACTGAAATCCAGAAAAAGCTTTTTAAATACTACAACAGCACTAACAGTTGATCTAAGGACAATTTAGAGAAATTGGGATATTCATCTGCCGGATTAGCAACATGTGAATGGGGCGAATACCAAACCACATGACATCTACGTGTCATACAACATGCATGGAAGATCTTGTCAGAGGAGAGATGATGCAATTGATATAACATGCACAGATGGATACCTTAATGAATTGGGTATCTGGATGTAAAGCCAAAGATTGAAATTCTAATTCCTCAATGTGCTGGGAGTTTGAATTAAGCCAAAATGGAGGAACCATGTGTGAAAAACTAAGTACACCTTGTTGCAGTAACGAGTAACTGGAAGAATAAGGCTTTGATGGTTAGATTATTAAATGAGCTTCCATCACATGGCAAAGTGAACTCCAAATAATCTCATGAAATAATATCTCTTCTCAAGATGTAAATAATGCAATCTAACAGGCAGGAGGCAGGAGTATTACCCTCCCAGGTAAAGCAATATTTGCAAATAACACATGATGCTCACTGACATGCACAAGTCACCTCCTTGCTTTTGTCAAGGAGTATTACCCTCCCAGGTAAAGCAATACTTGCAAATAGCACATGATGCCCACTGACATGCACAAGTCACCTCCCTGCTTTTGTCATGTTGTAATGACTGGAATCTTGTTGCTTAGCATATCAAGAAGCTAGGGTAGAGACCTAGGGTAGGTCCATTGAATCAATGGAATTTAGGGAGGAGTTGACTCACCAAATTACCACTGATTCAGTGGGGCTACTCTAGTTGTCACTTACTACACTAAGAAACAGTTTCAGGCCATGTCTCCCAGAGCTCAGGAGAGCAATCCACTCCCAGGGCTTTTCTGAACTGGATCACTTCAGAAATTGCTCAATACAACTCAGGCCTGAAACCAAATATTGATTCAGGGATTGTTCTGCTTTTCACTGCCTATAATTGTAAATGCAGGAATGACTATAATATCATTCCATTTTCCAGAACTTGTTGCAATTTTCAGATGTAGTAATACCTTAGCTGTGCAGTGACATTTCTGCTATGCCCCTTTATATTTTCAATACTGTAGTGTT